GAACCTTAATCTATATTAATAAATATTAAAAATCACAAAAAAAGACTTAAAATTTAAAATGTCTGTTCGCGTAAAAAAATTTGTTTGTATTTATTTTTAAAAGCTGTTAATGAAAGACTGAAATTTGGTATATCAAGAAGATGACTGTTCAATGCAATTTGGTAGCTAAATGATTTTTTGAATATTTGTTTATTATGAGATGGAATGGTAATGGCATTCATTTTCCTTAAATTAATATGATGGACGTCAGTCCGAAAACTTATCTTTTGATGTAAGTATGAGAGAATTTTGGTCTTAACTATTTTATAAAATAAACAGAGAGAATGAAGTTTCTGACGATTAAACATGTTCAGCCAATTCGCCTCTTTTAATTTATAAGAAATCCTCTCCCTTCTCCTTATGCCATAGATCATCCTTAAACAACTATTTTGTACTTTCTGAATTCGATTCTTATCAATTAATCGTAAAAAAGAACCATATACCGTGTCGCAATGATTAAAGTGCGATAAAACAAGAGAATCAGTAAGCATTTGTTTAGTTGCAGTAGACAAATCTGTTCTATGTGGATAAATTAGTTTTAGGGAAGAGTAGGCTTTCCTAACCTTCTCGTTAATATGTTTATCAAACCTTAATTGCGAGTCAATAGTCAAACCAAGATTTTTACACGAGGAACTAATTTTTAAAATTTCATTCCCTAAGGTGATTTGTATTTGTGGCAAGATCAGCTGTCGGTTATTTTCACTGCAAAATACAATAACATAACATTTTGTTGAGTTGATATGCAATGAGTGTTTTTCAGATGCACTTACAAGAATAGAGAGATCGTCATTAATACGCCTGACCGACTCTTCAATTTTAGACAGTTCAAAAGAATAATAAATTTGTGTATCATCAGCATATAAATGGCTCTTACAATGATTTAGATGTGAATGTAGGAAGGATGTATATAAGGTGTACAGTAATGGGCCAAGAATGCTGCCCTGAGGAACACCTTTTCTGACTAACAAACAATTAGAGAAAGTGTTGTTAAGAACCACCTGTTGAACGCGGTTTGTTAGATACGAAGTTATAATTTTGATCGACAAATGGCTGAGACGAATAAAATGCAAAATTGCTAATAGAAGTTTGTGGTTCAATGTGTCAAAGGCACGTGAATAATCAATTAGTACTAATGTGCATACTTTATTTGCATCAAGTGAGCGTAATATGTCATCGGTAACATCGGCTAAAGCGGTTGAACACCCATATCCACTTCTAAATCCTGATTGGGTTTTGGGAAGAATATCGAATTTTTTTATATGCAAATTTAGTTGTTTATCTAAGAGGTTTTCAAAAATTTTGGAAAGGACCGGGAGAATGCTTATACTTCTTAGTTGATTTAATTGTAGCGGTTGGGAGACTTTAGGTAGAGGAATGACATATGCATGCTTCCAAGCAGTGGGAAAGTAACCAACGTTTATACATTCGTTAAATATATGTAAAATATACTTTAAAATAAACGGACAACAAATTAATATGATATCGATATTTAAATTATCACTTCCGTAAGCCTTAGATTTAGTTGTTTTTATGATTTCCAAAATTTGGTCTTCATTGAAATTGGTGAATTGAAATTCTTCACGCACTTTATGGCAAATATTGTTGTTATAGCATTGAAAGGTGTTCATATCAGGATCAGTAATAGTAGGATCACCAATAAAGAAATTATTTAATTTGTTTACGTCGCTCAAATTTGAAGGTAAATCACGGTTTTTATTAGTTTTAATATTAAGTCTATGTAGTTCACACCATTTCTCTTTAGAATTGCAGCGGGATAATCTGTATTGCAAGTATGCTTTTTTTTCTCTCTTAATAGAAGCAGAAGTGAAATTGCTGAGTTCCTTATAGTACTCCCAGTGAGCAGGCAGTTTAGATTTACGATACTTTCTTAAAGCCTTATCTCTGAGTTTTTGTAGTAGTTTGATATTGTCTGTAATCCAGGGTTGTTTTTTAATGTTGTGTAAAATAGTGCGAGTTTGAAGAGGTGCAAACTCGTTAACTAAATTTAAAATTGTTTTATTAAAATAGCTTAATTTAGCATCAATATTATCAATGTACAAAATTTGTCTCCAGTCTTGTGCCTCCAGCGCACGTTGGAAAATATTTAAATCTATATCATAGAGTTTCCTAAAAGTTACATTTTTTGGAGACGCTTTTTCTAAAGACGTTCTAAATTTACACCAAACCAGGGAGTGTCTACCTATATTTACATCAGTTACATCGCAACAGTCCACATCGAAGTTTGTATAGATATGATCTATTAGAGTCATGCTATTATTAGAAAAATGAGTAGGATCAGAGACAATTTGATTTAACTGAAAAGTATCTGTAACAGATATTAGATCATTAAGTTTTTGAGATTGAAGTTTTAAATTATCGACATTAAAATCGCCAAGACACAACATTTTATCTACTTCCGGGTAAACATGAATTAAGGCATTTTCAAAATGATTGAGAAAAGACTGGTAAATGTCATTGGTGTTATTAGGAGGCCTGTAAACTACACCTAATCCATATTTTACATTATTTGTTTTGAATAGTATCCAAAGTTGTTCAATAGACTCAAAATTCTCTATGACCAAAACCTTATATTCAATTGATTTTTTTAAGTAGATTGCCACACCACCTCCCCGTTTCATAGATCTATCGTTTCTAATCAAGTTGTAACCTTTTAAATTAACTAATTCATCATCAATTCTATTGTGTAACCAAGTTTCAGATATACAAAAAATATCAAAATTTTTAGACGTAACCAGATTTTTAATATTATTAATTTTGGGAAAAAGCGAACAGACATTTAAATGCCCTACAGTAAAAGCCATTGACCAAAAGCATATAAAAAAAACACACCTAATAAAATATATGCTAAAAAAAAGAGTATAAAAGCTCAGAAAACTAAAACTAAAACCTTCTAAAAGTATTAGAGATAAATAATAAATGTATAATAATAAGCAAATATTTATGCTAACGCGACAAAATTTCAGCAACTCGACCTTAAGAGGCTAGAAGTTTGCTACTGTTTTGAAGTTGAGCGTGTGGTCTTCTTAACCACAGGAACTTGATGCACTTTACCCAATTTATCCAACCTCGAAATGGTTGAGTTGGCGGCGACGGCTTGCTTCGTAGGTTTGTCTTCCAACTGTATGTTAAAGGGGTGAGAACTTGAGCCAGGAGTGAAAGGGGCACTATCGATTTTTTGAGTTTTTAGACTATCTAGATCATCCAGTGAGTGACTTGTATTTTCCAAAATTAATTTGTTGCCTCGTATGAAGCAATGTTTGCCTTCTTCCTTATATTTCAAAAGATATTCCTTGAGTTGTTTATACTGAGCTCTTTGAAATTCAGTTAAATCATCCGCCACAAAAACTCCTGTATTCTTTAATTTATTGGAATTGAGAAGAATACTTTTTTTTTGAGATAGCTACAAAATTCAATTTTTAGAGGAGCATTGAGGTCTCTGCCCAAAGAGTAAAAGTTGGAGATATCCGAATCAATTAAACTTATGTCGAAAAGTTTATTAATTATATCGATGATAAAATTTAAGTTTATTGTATTATTGGTTTTTTTAAGACCAAATATAATAATGTTGTTTCTTTTTAGAGTTATTTCCAACTGTTCAACTTTATTTTTTAATTTGAAATTTTCTTCTTCCAGATCTCGTACTTTTTTACTTTCTAGCTCAATAGACGACTGTAATCTCGTTTCGCAGGAACTTAATGCATTCTTAAGCTCAGTTTTATTGCTCTCCATAACATCTATAAGCTTTTTTGAATTTTCTTCGAGTAGTTTTTTGATAACTGCCTCCGTCATGATTTAATTAAAGTTCAACAATAAATTTGTGTAAACGTAGTTTACTAAACGAAATATTGGATACAATATAAATTAATTTTATTATTATCTCTTGATGTTATCTTTACTATCTCGAGCACAAAAACTAGTCCCAGCCGTTGGCTGATATATACTTCAGTAGAGTAAATGATGAAAAGTATGCAAAGATTTCGTATTAATCAAGTGTTTTTACTCACAGTTGTAAGAGTGGTTAACTAATCACTTTTTTAGTCATTGGTTCATAATTCATAATTTTTAGACACTTAGAACCATAAAAATATTTAAACTTTAACAGGAGCAATTATACAAACACCATACACTGGACTACGTTTACACTTGACTGGCTTTGTTGATGGATTCATGCAATTGGGGGTTCCAGGTGAGTTTCTTATTTCACCTCCTCCGTAAAAGGAATGATTTTCCAGCTAAGGTAGGTTGTCGAAGCTTGTAGATTTTTCTTCTCTTGGTGAAGGGGACGATAACAGTTTTACGGAGGTTGACAGACATCTGCTCCCTCTCGCACCATCATGTTTCATCATGTTTAGGGCTTGTTGAAGGATGTTGGAGATCACCTCTTCTTACTTTTTCCTAATAATGATGACCAGATCGTCTGCATAGCATTTGAAATCCACCCTGTGTCGAAAGAGATTGTCTAGCAGGTTATAAGGCAGAATGGTCCACAGTAGGGGCGAAAGTACACTGGCTTGCGGAGATCTTCTGGCAGGCCTCAAAGTGAGCGTTTCTCCCTGCAGTGATCAAATAATGATGTTCCAGTTTGTCAGCATACTTTTTATCCAATTACAGGTCAGTTTGTTGATTGCTCTTCGCTATTATTACATACACTATACACTAATAGTTATATGGTTATACTATAAAAAGATCAACCACCATCTCTGCTCAGGTCCACCAGCGTCGTCACTTTAATTTCGATGTGTATATTATAATTAATAAACGTTGACTTATTTTAAAATTATTTTCAAAAGATTAAACCGGAAATCAAAATTGGAATATTATTTTACCAATGTTTATTTAAATTATTAAATAATTCTGTTATTTTAAATGGTTTTGTTTTATAAATTTAGTTGAAAATTGTAAATAAAGAGATTCATGAAAATCATTAATTATAAAATTACCTTTGACATATGTTCAAAATATGAAACTATAATTTTGGTATAGTTATTTGCATTATAAATATTCTTTTCCATTACCTTACTTCGTTTAATTCATGACATATGAGACACCTTGTATATTTAACTTATTCCAAACTCAAAACCGCAAAAAGCATTTTTTCCAAGGAACAAAACATTTATATATTATCATAAAAAAACAAATTATTTTATTTTAAGATACATTAAACATCGATAATAAAGAAATCTACTTAATTTGCAAATGCAAAAGGGCCATTACGTCACTCACAATTCTCCTCGTCGGAATCGTCGTCCGATCCACAATTATTGATTTTATTGCATCGCAACTTTTCAGGAATGCAAAAGCCCGACCTTGTGCATTGAAACTCGTCGCAGCTAGGCCCTTCCAGTACTTCGGTCCAGTAGGCTTTGAATCCTTGAGCACCAACAGCTTTATCGGCAGTAATGAAACTAAAAAACAAATATAATTTTTTTTTTAAATGTGGATTAAGATACCTACAATCTATGTAGACTAGTAAATATAGATGATAAAATGGTTGCGGAAAACACGATACGAGTTACGAGTCGATGAACCGACATCCGCCAACAAGAAATGCAATATAAATATTTAAGGTTTTTACACTCAATTGTTCCAAAATTGCGATTCTACAATTTTACATTTCTTATAACATAATTTTAAAATATTCATCTTGTGAAAGTAAGTTTTAATTATTTAGCAACTGTAAATTTTGTATATTTTCATCTTAAAAGTGACTTCTAATCACAAAAAGCATTTCTGGCACAATTATTTGGATAGCGGGAGATTCTTTAAAGGTCCTAGTCGTTTTTAAACGTTTGCCCGCTAGTGAACCTACCCGAGGGAAACATTTAATAGTTATCCCGAAGGAGATCAAGAAAGAACATACCTTAGAAGTAAGAAGATAGATTACCGGAATATGCTACCTTATGTTATCAATGTTCAAATCACCCCCTTAACAAAAACCTATCATTAAACCTTCAACCCTAGTATTGATTCCTTCAACACCGTCCTTACCTATAAAATTCACAGAAGACCTACAATTAATCTCTAATACTATCATCATGCCAGGATTCGACCAGTTTTCTCGCAGAAGTTGATGGCAACTCCAACGAACTCTACAATTTTATCAATGTAGCCCCGATGTAAATATAGACACTTACAATTCCGATTACTTTTAAAACTTATAGGAAAGGCCAGAGAAGTAATCTTAGTCTTCGGATGCAGACAATGGATACAAATAAAAGAGACTCCAATTCAACTCTCGCTGACCAAAGAAATGAAAATTCATTAACAAAAGATTTAACTAATCTACGTCAAGGTCCCAACGAGAACGCACAGCAATTCTATGAGAAAGTAATGGGACATCACAAACTACATAGAACTGCATAAATCAATTGAAACCATCAAGCACAATAAGAAAAATTTCTTCCAATAACAAGCCTTTACAACATTTCTAGTAAGGACTTCAAAAACCATTTGGATCCACAATAAGAGTCATGCCCAACATCTCTTTCCGTATCCATAGAGTATATACAAGAAGAAAACAACATAAGGTACCTCTAAAAGGGATTGGGCTCTTTTTCAGCTACTACCAGCAAGCCTCAAAATGCCAACCTACTAGGAAAACTACACAAATCACCGACAATTAGTTTTATGCATTCACAATGCCTATCCTAAGACCACAACCGTTATCAGCATTCAGAGATTCGCAGTTCAAACAACAACCAATAATATTTTTCCAACAACCCAGATTTCAAAAAAAAAACAGTAATTTACGAGGCCATTTCAACAAAACATAATGAACAAATTAACTCCCATGAGTATAAGAACCAGGGCTACCAGCCAAAATAAGGTTCTAAACCAAGGAAACTACTTTAGGTCCCAAGGCACATCTAGATTTACTTCTTAAAACTGTTCAATATCAAACAAACCGATGAAGCTTTTGGTTACGACGCAAATGCATACACACTCGACACAAACCTGGAAGAATTTAATTAATATCACAACCAATCCGACTATACAAAAGCCCAAGCGGAAGAAGAAAATCTACAGTAAAAATTTGTAAGAAAAAACACCGAGATGTAGTCGAACTTCACTCCTACGCAGACAAGAGAGAATTTTCTTACATTTCCATATCAAATCCACTCCTCAAACTTTTTATCAACACCGGCGCTACAAAATCCTTTCTTACTCCCGAAATTGCATTCAAATTTTATGCAGACACTGTCAAACGTAAACCATTCAACGTTATTTCCATCTTCCAGAATCATTCCCAAGATTATTGTGCTGAAATTTTAATATTTCCAGAATTCAATAGAGGTGGCAACTTCAAATTTTATCTCTTCCAATTTCACAAAACCTTTAATGGCCTTATAGGCTAAGACAACTTTAAATTTCTTAAAGCCCACGTTATTCTTCCAGAATATAAACTTATTACTGAGAATTCCACACATCCTTCTCTCTACTACTATAGTAATAAAACACAATTTGATCTATCCAATTCACACTACAAACAATCACCTAAGACAAGAAGTTTAAGAAAACGCCTTACTACGGCATGCGATCAACTGGCCTGGGCAGAACTTGTCAACGACACTGAAGAACCAATCCAATATCCCTAATTGAAGCAATGAAAAGTATGGAAATAAACAATCAAGATTACCGTTTGTACACGGCTTATATCATACCATAAGTACAACAGAAAATAGACATTGATCCCCTTATTAAAACAGATCACCTCAACCCAGAGGAAGAAAAAAATTATATTAAGAAACTCTGTAGAAGATTCTCAGACTTTTTCATCATCTTACATTTACGAATCAAATAAAACATCACATCCGAACTACACATGAAGCTTCTGTCTATACAAAATCCTATAGATATCCGCATATCTATAAGGAGTAAGTAAAGAAACAAATATATGCTGGAATTATCAAACCTAGCTAAGCCTCCATGGTCTTTACCAATCTGGGTTGTTCCAAAAAACCAGACGCTTTAGGAAAGATAAAATGGCGTATCGTCGTCGATTATAGGAAGACTAATGAAAACACGATTGATGATAAATATCCGATACCGAATATAACAGATATCCTAGACAAGCTTGGACGATGTCAATATTTTTAGATTCTTGATCTGGCAACAAATTGAGAATGCGAATGAAGATGTGCAGAAAACAGCCTTTAACGTCAAAAACGGCCATTTAGAATACGTCCTAATGCCATTTGGACTTAAAAATGCTCCTGCAATCTTCCAGGACTTAAAGGACTTCAAGGGGAAATATGCCTGATATGTTATGTTGAGAATGGGGTGTTAATACACTGCGACCTAAAAGAGCTATTGTGCCCCCTTCTGTCGCCAATGCACTAAGGAAATGTCTTAATGCCTATAACGACCCTTCCAATCCAATTTTCTCAAGAAAGTGTAGGATTTGAAGTGGCTTCAAGTTAGGTAAATCTCCCACTTCTATTTGACATTCTCCTTAATTTCTGAAGTGCTACACATTCCATTAGGATGTGAACAGAGGTTTCGTCCTCCTCCTCCTCACAGAATCTGCACTGCCTGATATACATGGACGATATAATAGTCTTCTCCACCTCACTGCAAAAACAAATATGCCAACGACTACGAGAAACTGAGACCAAAGTTCAAGTAGATAAATGTGAATTCTTGAAGAAAGAAGTTGATTTATTAAGACATATCATTACTCCCGATGTAATAAAACCCAATTCAATGCAAATTAAAACCATGATGGACTACTCTATACCAAAGACATCGAAAGATATTCCTAGGATTGCTGGTATACTTCAGAATATTTAAAAGGGACTTTGCCAAAATCACCAAAGCACTGACGTCATGCCTCAAGCAAAATGCTAATATCAAACACACACCAACATCTACTTAAATATCCAGACTCCTCCATACCATTTAATTTGAGAACAAATGTAAGCAACCTTGCAACTGGTGTTATAATATCACAAGGACTCGTCGGTAATGACAAACCTATTGCCTATGTCTCCAGGACATTAAACGTATGGGCTACGAAATACTTTTGCCGATACCAGTTTGGAAGAAAATTCAAGATCCTATCAGATCACCGCCCTTTCCAAAGGCTCTTCTCCTTAAAAGATTCTAACCTTAAGCTCGAGATGGCGTCTAAAATTGGAAGAATTGGATTACGAAGTAAATTATAAATATACCAAATTCAACAAGGAATGCAGACACTTTATCCAGAATAGAGACACACAACAAGAAGACACATAACTCTGAAGAAAGTTTTTAAGAAGCCACATCATAAAATTTAGAAGATATTATTAGTGATTCACTAGGAGAATTAAACACAAGAAAATCAGCTATTTTTGACTTTTTTTAACTATTTGATATTTTAATTTTTTTTTTTTTAACTTTTGACATTTTTAAATTTTTTGACCTTTTTTATAACTTTTTGACTTTTTTGACTTTTTTGACTTTTTTGACTTTTTTGACTTTTTTGACTTTTTTGACTTTTTTGACTTTTTTGACTTATTTGACTTTTTTGACTTTGTTGACCTTTTTTACTTTTTGACTTTTTTATTTTTTTACTTTTTTACTTTTTTGACTTTTTTGACATTTTTAACTTTTTGGATTTTTTTGACTTTTTTTGACTTTTTTTACTTTTTGACTTTTTTGACTTTTTGACTTTTTGACTTTTTTTGACTTTTTTTGACTTTTTGACTTTTTTTAACTTTTTGACTTTTTTGATTTTTTTTTTACTTTTTTGATTTTTTTCTTTTTCGACTTTTTTGACTTTTTTGACTTTTTTGACTTTTTTGACTTTTGACTTTTTTGACTTTTTTGACTTTTTTGACTTTTTTGACTTTTTTGACTTTTTTGACTTTTTTGACTTTTTTGACTTTTTGACTTTTTTGACTTTTTTGACTTTTTTGACTTTTTTGACTTTTTTGACTTTTTTGACTTTTTTGACTTTTTTGACTTTTTTGACTTTTTTTTTACTTTCTTGACTTTTTTTGACTTTTTTGACTTTTTTGACTTTTTTGGCTTTTTTGACTTTTTGACTTTTTTGACTTTTTTGACTTTTTTGACTTTTTTGACTTTTTGACTTTTTTTGACTTTTTTGACTTTTTTGAATTTTTTGACTTTTTTGACTTTTTTGACTTTTTTGACTTTTTTAACTTTTTTGACTTTTGACTTTTTTGACTTTTTACTTTCTTTTTTTTTTGTTTTTTTTTTTACCTTCGACTTTTTTGACTTTTTTACCTTTTTTAACTTTTTTTATTTTTTTACTTTTTGACGTTTTTGACCATTTTACTTTTTTTGACTTTTTTTGACTTTTTTTGACTTTTTTTTTGACTTTTTTTTTTACTTTTTTTTGACTTTTTTTGACTTTTTTGACTTTTTTTTACTTTTTCCTACTTTTTTTACATTTTTAAATTTTTTGACTTTTTTGATTTTTTAAATTTTTTTGAATTTTACTTTTTTGGCTTTTTTAATTTTTTTTTACTTTTTTAATTTTTTTACTTTTCTTTTACTTTTTTACTTTTTTTACTTTTTTTACTTTTTTTACTTTTTTTTACTTTTTTTTACTTTTTTTTACTTTTTTTTACTTTTTTTTACTTTTTTTTACTTTTTTTTACTTTTTTTACTTTTTTTTACTTTTTTTTTACTTTTTTTTACTTTTTTTTACTTTTTTTTTTACTTTTTTTACTTTTTTTTACTTTTTTTTTACTTTTTTTTACTTTTTTTTTACTTTTTTTTACTTTTTTTACTTTTTTTTACTTTTTTTACTTTTTTTTACTTTTTTTTTACTTTTCTTTACTTTTTTTTACTTTTTTTTAGTTTTTTTAGTTTTTCTTAGTTTTTCTTAGTTTTTTTTTAGTTTCTTGACTTTTATTATCTTAATTTTGGTCGATCGTGCGCCCTTTGCAATAGGCAAACGACCGGCTCGCTAGGCCCTTCCGCTGGCTCTAAATATAATTAAGCGTCTTATCTTCATTTCGAAGGACCCTTAGATTAACGCACTGTATATCATATCTAGTGAATAATAATACAGATCAGTGAACATGGCTGACAGCACCCCTACACCTCTTAAGAACACAGCATAATTTCCAGATAAATTTTCCAACTAGTACCGTCATTTCACATCTTCTTTTATACAGGGTAACAGAAAAGTAGGCAGTGAAAAAATATTTAGGTAAAATTATATAATTACCTGAATCTCATAGTACTTGACGTCGACACGTACTGCCAGGACTTATCAGTGACAGCTTTCTCGCCGCAAAGTTCGATTGGGGTCGACGAAACGTCGTTCCACAAACGTAACACAGCAGCAGGACATCCTCTCCCTATAAAAGAAATTTATAAAAATCCTGTTGACATCAAATTAACTTAAGATACTGACCTAGAGGGTCGCCTTCGATGGCGAACTTTTCAAATACAAGAAGAACCTTATATTTGGGTCTCACGCTGATATACCAGTTACAACTTTTCGAGGCTTGATTCTTCGACGGAGCCTCGTAGTCTTTCGGAAAATTCGGGCTGCTTATAACTCCAGAATCCAAGCTGCTCACGTTCCCTCCGCAATCTCCGAAGATAGATTTCGATGTTTCGAAGCTATACCTGTAAATTAGAAGAATTAATAGTTTTGACACCATTACCAATTACTATAACTAGATCATGCGAGTCAGTTTATGGAACTAAATTAAATATGACATTATTACTCATTTTTAACAAGGTTGGATGAGAAATATCTTACCTGGCTTTAAATCCACTGTATACACCTTCGGAGTCAGAGTGCAGGACCAATTTGAGCCCGGACGCCCCTCTGGGAGACTCAATCGGACCAGGCGCTGACATGTGGCAGTATCTGCCGATTTTCGTTTCTGACCCGTCGCGATATACATTAAAGATTTCTATCCAGTCCTCTTGGCAAATAGTAGTTCTGGAAATGGATTATTGGAATTAGTTACATACGTGTGAGTGTAAAAAAAATATAATTCTGCTTACCCATAGGAACCAATGGTGGCATTGATACTGTCAGCGCGAACTTTAAAGTTGTCAAAAACCAACGTGACTTGCTCGTTATTCGTGGCTAGAAAGAGATAGGTGCAGTTCGTGTCGCTTGGATAATTCGAGGGATACCGCGGCGAGTTAAATTCTCCTTTCTTTTTACTCGTGCTCAGGTAGGTGAACGAGCACGAACCATCTGGCGCTGCAGTACCAGGTATTCTATATTCTGGAAACAAAGAAAAACGTTATTTTCAAACTAAAGCTGTACGTTATTGTTTCTTACCAGTCTCAAAAGTATAGTTAGCCTTGAAACCGCGACCCATCAGTTCACTGCTGCTGAATACCATAACAAGTCTAGGACCATCAGAAACGACCACCGTGGGCTTGGTATCATCCCCGCACATCTCGTAATCAAATTTATCGTATGAATCAGTCGTTTCTTGGCCCTTCAGATATATTTTCAAGTAGCCGTCAGTACAACTAAATAAAAAATTAGATCAATGTTATGATACTGTTATAAAAACCTTTCTACTTACTCTCCTTTCGGTCCTTTGGGTATCTCGAACATGAGGAACTCCAGACGTACCCTTTCTAAGTGCTGCGAGTCTTGCATACCGTATATGAAGTACCTGCAGACCAGTTTGGGCATGTAGAGGAACGGGTAGTTCGGACTGAACACGAAACCGCTGGATTCTTTTTTGCTTAGAATTTTTTGATCACACTCCGTACCTCGGATGTGTTCCCCATCGTTTTTACTTATAAAATCTGAAAATCGGATCAAAAAGCTTAAAAATAAATCGAAACACGTATTACATTATTTAATAGCTGTCATTTTTTATAGCTGACAGTTGGTATCTGACGGATGTAATTTATTAAATAGGTGATTGATAAGTGGTATATAGGTAATTTATAGGTAATTTATAGGTAATTTATAGGTAATTTATAGGTAATTTATAGGTAATTTATAGGTAATTTATAGGTAATTTATAGGTAATTTATAGGTAATTTATAGGTAATTTATAGGTAATTTATAGGCAATTTATAGGTAATTTATAGGTAATTTATAGGTAATTTATAGGTAATTTATAGGTAATTTATAGGTAATTTATAGGTAATTTATAGGTAATTTATAGGTAATTTATAGGTAATTTATAGGTAATTTATAGGTAATTTATAGGTAATTTATAGGTAATTTATAGGTAATTTATAGGTAATTTATAGGTAATTTATAGGTAATTTATAGGTAATTTATAGATAATTTATAGGTAATTTATAGATAATTTATAGGTAATTTATAGTTAATTTATAGGTAATTTATAGTTAATTTATAGGTAATTTATAGGTAATTTATAGGTAATTTATAGGTAATTTATAGGTAATTTATGGGTAATTTATAGGTAATTTATAGGTAATTTATAGGTAATTTATAGGTAATTTACAGTTAATTTATAGGTAATTTACAGTTAATTTACAGTTAATTTATAGGTAATTTATAGGTAATTTATAGATAATTTATAGGTAATTTATAGGTAATTTATAGGTAATTTATAGGTAATTTATAGGTAATTTATAAGTAATTTATAGGTAATTTATAGGTAATTTATAGGTAATTTATAGGTAATTTATAGGTAATGTATAGGTAATTTAATGGTAATTTAATAGTAATTTATTGGTAATTTATTGGTAATTTATAGGTAATTAATTGATAGGTTATTGCTAGGAAATTTTTGGGTAATTAATAGGAAATGACTGGTAACTGATAGGTAATTGATAGATAATAGGTAAATAATAGGTAATTAATAGGTAATTGATAGATAATGAATAGATAATTGATAGCTAAATAATAGGCCATTAACAGATATTTAATAGGTAATTAATGTTTAATAAATTGGTAATTAACACATAATTATTAGATATTTAAACGATAATTGTTATGTAATTGAGAGATAATTGATAGGTAGTTAATAGGTAATTGATAGGTATTAAATTAATGGGTAATTAATAGGTAATTAATAAGTAATTAATGGGTAATTAATAGTTAATTGATAGATAATTGATAGGTAAATGATAGATGACAAGATGGTTATTGTAGCTTACCTAATTTTGTAAATGAGTTGGAAAACTCGAAAATCCCTTTAAAACCTCGGTTCTGAGTATTGGCAGTGCGTGGGAGGGTGACGAATGCGACGAGAAGAGAAGATTCAGACGAATAAATGACTAGATTGCGTTGTTGCCCGCAGTAGGTTCCGATCACAGCTGAACTATTGTCCGGCCCATCGTAGACTTTTACGTAGTCAAAGGGACAACTAAGAATAAAAGAAAAACATATTAAGGAAAAATTGGTATTATCACTAGAACCACAAAACACTATGTCACCACTGTCATCATTCGGTCCTCATTGCTGAACGAGTAGGTACCGTCCGCATTTTTAGTACCTGTTTTGTAGTACAGTGAGACGGTGCGTGCAGTTTCTACAGTTTTGTTTTATTATGTTCATATTGTATAAGACGCCACCTTGTACTTCATGATAAAAAAAAATCGCTAAGGCTAATTTGTATAATTGTAATCTATTTTTAGGACTTTAATTACGCTAAAAAACGTCAAAAAAATACTAGATTAGATGATTCCGGAACAAGTATTGAAACATATAGAAGAACACTACCAAAATACCTTATTTGAATGACTGTAACATAATGGGACAGCGAAAAGTGTGAAAACAAAATCTACAGAAACTGACGATGTCGTCAATGATGAGTTTGATATTTCTCCTATTCAAACAGAAAGTGAATTGTACTCTAGAAAAGTAGTTTACAAATTATTTGGAAATATCTTTTAGTTACATTGGCTCAATCATCTTTAGATATTTGAATAGTTTTCAAATTTGTTAAAAAAACTATTTATTATGGTGTACTTTTTAATTTTTCCATGTTAATATAGGGGTTAACCACTTAGCGTACGTACCCGTGTAAGTGAGGGGCGCAACTTAACTATGTAATAAATATATGTATAAAATAAAAATGTAAATTTTTGGTGGCCATTTTTTAGTTCTCATTTTTTATTGTCCATTTTTACGAAATGGATAGAAAATATGGCAATTACAAATATAGGCGTCCCATACAATGCCATTATTGTTCCATCAACCTTGTGGTTTAAGGTTATTAAGAAAAATTTTTGAGTAGAAATAAAATGTGTACATATTTGGGATATCTGGTTTAGTAACTAGACTGCCCTATCTATCAATATTTAAAATACTTACTGTGGCCCTCCAAAAAACAAATCAAAATCCCTAAATTCCAAGCGGATTCTTTCTCCAGGAGCACCGAGAAACTGGTAAGTGCAGTGCATCGCCTTGGGGTAAGCGCCTGGATACGTCGGCGATAGGATTGACCCCGTGTGTTTAACTGCTCCTTTTACCAAAAAATTGCACGGTCCTCCGGCTAACGGTGTACCAATTTCGTATTCCGCTGAAAAAAAAAAAATAATGTTTTAGTCGATTAAAATATTATTATGTGCCCAAAATTGTACCATTTGCTATAATGGATAAACTAAAAAATGAACTAGAACGTATGCTAAATGATAACATTATTAAAAGTATAACAGAACCAACTGAATTTGTAAATCCCATTGTTTTAGTCAGATAACCAAAATGTAAATGAATCCATTATTAGATAATATTATGAGTTACCCACTTTTGATGAGATTACAAGAGACACAGCAGGCTCGAAAATATTGTCTGAAACTTCATCAAAATTAACAACTTTTGCTACTCCTTATGGGAGGTACAGATTTTTTCACTTGCCTTTTGGTCTGGCCAACTCTCCTAAAAATTTTCATCATATAATCAGCGAACTTTTTAAAGAAATTAGTGGGGTAAGAGTTTACATGGATGATTTTATTATTTTTGCGAAAGATTTACAGGAACATGTGGAAATACTTAAAAAGGTTTTTTTTGGACAGAGCTGTTGAAAGTGGAGTAAAGTTTAATAAAAACAAATGCAAAATCATAGTAAATGAAGTTAAGTGTGTCGGACATATTTTGTCAGAAAAAGTAATAGAAGAAGATGTAGATAATCAAACAAATTTAGTCACTAACAAATACAACACATTGTCTAGATTCCTGGGTATGGTAACTTAGGTAGCAAAATTAATTCCTAATTACTTAGGGTTAAAAAATAATCTGAGAAATTTGATAAAAAAGAATATTATATGAGATTGGACTCAGGTTCACGAAGAAGAATTTAAATTTTGAAAGGAAATATTAATGAAAAGATCTGTTTTACAGTATTATAAGGAAAATAAACCTATAATACTCTCAATAAACAGTTCAAAGGATGATTTAGGAGCCGTTATACTCCAAGAAGGGAAGCCTGTAGAGTTTGACGAATAGTCAGAAAAATTATGCACAGATAGAAGAAGAAATGCTCGGAATAGTTTTGAGTTGTCAAAGGTTTCGTCAATATCTGTATTGTAGAAACAGACCATAAATCATTGGAGGCAATTTTTAAGAAACCTTAAGATAAATGCCCAGTAAGGCTACAAAGATTAAGAATAACATTACAAAATTATTCTTTTACGGTTAGGTATAAACCAGGTTCACAACTATATTTTACTGATGCCCTATCAAGATCAAGTTATAATGATAAAAGTTTCACAATAAATGAGGCAGATTTAGATGGTCAAGTAAACTTAATTAAATTCAATGAAGATATCAGCAAAACAAAGTTGGACATAATAAGAGAAGAAACTTTGAAAAGTATAGAATTGCAATTTTTATTAAAAATTATAAACGAGGGCTGGCCAGACAAAAAGAGTAAGGTAAATGAATTAATAGCTCCCTGTTGGTTTTGTAGAGATCAAATAGTTGGAACAAAGGGATAAATATTGAATATTAATGGTAGATATATTAGATAAATTACATTATAACCATATGGGTATTGAAAAGACCAAGCTTAGAGCCCGTGATCTTGTTTTTTGGCCTTCAATTGAAAAAGAAATTACAGATAGGGTAAAAAACACATTATGTTTAACATATCAAAATAGTCAATTTAGTAAACCATTAATTAATAGAAATTTTCCTAACATTCCTTGGAGTATTGTAGCTACTGATTTATTTTATGTTCAAAGTTGTGATTATTTACTAATGGTTGATCTATACTCAAAATATCAAAAAATATGTTTTCTTAGTAGAAACACTACAAAAAAGAATATAATAAAACATATAAAGTCACTTTTTGCGAGGCATGGCAAACCACACATTCTTTATTCAGACAATGGACCACAATTTGTAAACAAAAAAGTTCATGAATTTTCAACTAGCTGGTTATTCAAACAATTAAGAATTTGTTAAAAAAAGCTGTATTAGACGAAAAAGATGGATATTTAATACTACTGGAGTATAGTAATACTCCGATAGCTTATAATATTCCCAGTCCGACTCAGTCATTATTTAGCAGACGTCTGAGAGGTCATTTACCAATAAATGAAAAACGACTGGCACCACAGAGTCCTGTAGAAGTAAAAAAAATCTATATTTTGATAACAGGGTGAGAGCTTTACCAGAATTAAAAATAGGGTCAAAGTGATGGTGCAATTCGAAAAAAGGTGGGAGACAGGTGTCGTTTCAGACATTGTAACATTTTAAAATTCCACTTAAAAATTTTATTTCAATTGTGTGACATCCTGTATAAAATAGTATTCGAATAATTTAAATTTAATTATCGAGTACAGCAGGGGCGGCTTGTAACCAAAATTTTGAAGGTTCACAGTAGCAGAATATAGATAATAATAATGTTTATTCAATTCAGTACATAAATTCAATAATAAATATAAATATAAAGATAGATACATAAAAGTTAGGATAAATACAAGTAACATATTATTAAAAAGACTTAGTAACTACTTCATTAAAATAATACATACTAAGAAGAGAGTGGATAAACAAAGTTAAGCCACAGAAGTAGTTTTTAGAACTACTTGTATTGTGACCTTAATATAGTTTGTTTTGCCTTTTTTGGGCGACACAAAAAGGGTTTTTGTCAAACCCAGTGAAAAAAAATATATTGTCAAATCCAGTTTAAGACACATTCGGGGTATAAGGACAAAATAGAGGTAAGTTAAAATATCAGACACATATTCTTGAAATGGCTACTTTTGTCACTGTAGAGTTTGATTTACTATATCGGTAAAAAATCGTCTCTCTGTTTCCATAATCCATTTTTTAATTCGATTTTTATATAAATTAAAACTTTTTGAGTTTTTTATATCATTAGATAACAGCACGTAAATTCTTAGGGCTAAATAGTTAGTATTTCTTTTCCAGATAGTTTTTTCACTTCGTGGGAAAACGATCCCTTCATATCTCTTAGTATTATAAGAGTGTTCATGATGTACAAATTTTATTTTATTTTGAAATATAAAGAACAATATTTTTTGAATGACAATTTGTCGTACATCTTTTACTTGGGCATCTAGATATAATTGATCTGAGGAAAATAAAATATTTTTTTGGAATATGATTCTTAAAAGCCATTTTTGTACAATATGAACACTATTTAAGAAACAGTCATTTACTCCACCCCACCCTAAAATACCATAAGAAAGCAGTGACTCAACCAGTGAGAAATACAAGACTTTTAATTCCTCAACTTCAAGAATTTCCTTTAAATACCTAAATTTTGGCAAATGACCTCTTATTTTTAACTATTTCCTTACATTGTAGATCCCATCTCATATGACGATCAATTGTAATACCGAGGTATTTTACTTTCTCTGTTTCTACAATGTGGTTAGTCGTCCCAATGTTCAGTGGCCCCAAGTTAGGTAACCCAGTTAGGTAGGATGAAAAAGGTAAGTAGTTTGTTTTACTAGAGTTAAGCGTTAATTTATTAAATTGTAACCATTAAGAAATAAAAGGAAAATCATTTTCTATTTTATTTTTTAGATCTTGCCAGTTGGATGAATTATAAAATACTACAGTGTCATCTGCAAAACTGATGAGTTCACCCTGAATATTCAAGGAAAACATACTAATAATATATAAAAGATACAGAAGTGGACCAAGAACGGTTCCTTGAGGTACACCGTAAGTAATTGTTTGCGATGTGCTCATTACTCCATCGATTTGTACTATTTGATTCCTATCTGATAAATAACTTTCAATGAGTTTGTAGGTATTTCCTCTTATACCATACTTCTCTAATTTATTTAATAACGATTTGTGGCAAACGGTATCAAATGCTTTAGAAAGATCTAGGAAGATACACACAGCAGATATCGGTACAGATTTAGGTAAAAAACTGTCAGTGTTTTAGAAAGGTATATTATAAACTATTTATAAACACTGAAAGTTTTTTTCATACATCTGTACTGATATCTATATTCTGTCATTGTGAACCCCCAAAATTTGGGTCACGGACCGCCACTGGAGTACAGTAAAGCAAACTATTTCGACATTACATTTTAAGATTTCATTTATAGATATTATCTCCTAGTATCTGGTAGTATTTGGCTGTACAAGTGGTGAGTAAAAAAGTATAATGTCGTTGTAAAAATATCTCGGTAGATATAATATTTCAATCTGTTGTTTATAGTATATAAGTTTATTTTTTTGAAAGTCAACTTAAATTTTTCTAAATATGTTTTTATAATTCATTTTGGTTGCTGGAATTGCACAGTGTTTATAGTAATTAGTTTTTATTGTATCTTGATTTAATTTTAAAAAAGCAGATGTTTCAAACTTATACAAGAGCCACGTGAAAAACAGAATTTATTTGTTATTTAGAAAACGAATAAAAGCAGCTAAAAGTTAAAAGTTAGAACTAGAACAAGAAAGAACAAGATATGGTGTTCGTGCTCAAGTAGCAGAATTATGGAAAATACGAGATTTGGTGTTCGTTCCCGAGTAGCAGAATTATAGTTCGACTGCATCCTAAAGAACTTGTTACCCAAAAGCAAATAGTGGTAACTAAATAGTGGCTAATTTTATTATTGGAGATATAAAAGTTAATTTACCAGCTTAATTTTAATATTTACTTGTTCCTGAACATTTTCACTTTTTACTGAATAAACTAATTCATTTTTATAAATATACAGGGTGTCTGTAAAAGGTCTTTACAAAAACATACCACATATTCCTTAGACCAAAATAAGTCGATTTAAGTAAAATTACCTTAGTACAAAGTTGCTTCGTTTGGGCTCCAGAGGGCCTTGAAGTTACAATTTTTAAATGGTTTTTCCCATATAAATTTAAAACGGCATATGTGATTTTGCTAAAATTTGGTATATTGGTAGAGTTTTATGTGGCAAAAAAATGGTATTAAAATTTTGTCTGATAATAATACATAGGCGTAGAACTTGATTTTTTAAATAATTGCACCTTTAAAAATTCTACGCCAATGAAAGAAAAGGTTTATTAATATGGCTGTACAATATACCAATGCAGAATATACCGATATGTTACTGACAT